GTTTCCAGATGGATATGCGGAGCAAATCCATCTGGCGGAGTCAGGTTAGAGAATGAGGCCGTAGATCCAAAATGTCAGTTAAAAAGTAAGGCTTAGAGTCAGGCTTATGTTCATCTCATGGAGGGGGTCAGACTTTGGTGCTTTTATGTCACCAATGTCTCCATTTACACAGAAAAAAAGTCACTAGATTTGGCGCTAGCTTCTTTTTTGAAACAAAGGCGCTGAAGGGGTCTGAAAAGATGCTAGCTTTAGCAACAAAAGCGCAACACTGTTGTAGTCAGAAAAAAAAGTATTCAACTATTCACCCTAGTTAAATAAACAGAGATTGACGGATTTCACTAAGTCGGGATTTTATTTTCGTATCTTTGCAAAGAGAGAACAGTTCATCATACGGCCCTTACAGCACGGTAATCAGCCCTGTTCTGACTAGACTGAGTTTGTTTCCCTTATTTTGATGAAAAAACTGCGAAGGTTGTGTCAGAGTCTAAACAAATTACACACATTTTAACAAACCTTGGGAGAGAATTTGACTTGACTTGTCGTGGGATTAAATATGTTTTGTCTACAACCACCCCTCACTCAGACATTTTCTCAGCTTTGCAGGTGAAAGAAACAGAGTAAAAACATTTTTCAACAGATAAATAGCATAATTAAATATATAAGACAAGAGAAATCTAAATTTTCCGACCACACTGGTTTGGGCGTTTTTTTTGGCATAAAGAATCATTCAGCCGCTGCAGACGGTGGGAAATCCCGCAGTGACCAGGTGGTCCAAGGGAGCTGTGACGGGGGATTTCCAGAGCCCCTACCTGCCTGTATGTGGAGTAGAAACTGACATTTTTTCGGGAATCCCACAGGTCACGGGATTCCCGTGGGATTCCCATGGGATGGGAATCAGTATTAGTAACGATCACGTGATTGGGACGGTACAGGATTAAACATTAACGGGAGCAGACGGGAGCGGGAGCAAACCAATAGTAACGAAAAAAAAACTAGGATCGATGCTAAAAAATAAAATAAAATAAAAAGAAAAAAAATCCAGTACTGGCGCCGCCATTTTGTCGTTTTTTTCCTTGAAGCCTACACTATAATGTGAGTCAAAAAAACTACACGACCCAAAAAGTGCTTCCGCTCTGAGTTTTTCACCCGCGCTCAAAAACAGCAATGGAGGGACCAACAGTTAGCGGCGAACTCGACTTCGAAAAGTTTGATTGTTTTGATTGTTTATTCACCTAAGATAAGCATGGTCTGTTTCCTTGTTTGTTACTTTTATTATGTATTATTAATTGTTATTCCTTTGACTTTAACTGACCTTTACTACAGTTAGAAACAGGAAGTTAACTGACCCTT